AATCTTCATTTTTGAGACATCAAAAATCCCATCAAAAATCCTAGATCTCCATCGCCAAATCCCCTGATCTTTGGATTTTGAGGTGATGCCATGATGTCTTCGGCCATGACGACCATGCCATCCATGCCGATTCTGACCATGACCCTGCCCAATGGGCAGCAGGCACAAGCGGATGGATGCGGAGGGCTCTGTGGATCAACCAATCTCTACCTGGAGAAAGTGGAATTCGACTGGTGATTTGTTTTTTTTTCTAGTGATTGATGGGGATTCATAGTGATTTTTCTAGCGATTAATGGTGTTTCATAGTGATGACTACTTGCCGGTGGTTAGGAGGGAGCCAAGGGGAATTCATATTCCCATATATTCCCTATTAAAAGATTGGAGCCAACGAGCTACTCGTACCAAATCATAGAGATTCCAGAGAAGCATCATCTCTCAGGTCAGTTCTCATTTTCACTTTAGTTTCAGGTTGAGTTTTGAATTTCAAAGAAAGAGAGCATCGTTCTTCCAGCCTCACCAATTTGGTGGTTTGCATCATGGTTTCCGGTTCAGATTTCCCCTCGAACCAACCCATTGATCAAATATTTCCGTTTTTGGAGAGTTACGGTAAGAACCCATTCAAACAACCATCAATTAATCAAATACCAAAAATCAATCCAACTTTCGATTGTAAAACATAGTTAGACCCCATCCTTTAGGTGTTGTATACTATGGTGTAGTGTTCTTTCAAACATAGTTAACCATAGTTAGACATATTTAAACATAGTTAACCATAGTGAAAAGCCCATTTTTCAGGCCCATGAATTTTTCAGCCTCCCAGTTGCCATGCCAGCCATGCCAGGTGCATCCCGCTGTGGAAGCTCTGATCATCCGCTTCGGCCTGGATGCGCAGTGCGCGCAGCAACTGCGCCAGCTTCCCCTGCAACTGCAGGTCATCGGGTCGGGTAACTGAGATAAGAATCCCGCTTAAAAAGAGATAGACCAGTTGTAAAAATTCACCACTATTTGATGGGAGATTTTGCGGGATTGTTCTGAATCTTGCATCTTTTTTGGGAGCTGCTGTATATTATGTTGTAATCATGTGGGGATGGTGGCAAAATTGATCGGACACCCAAAACCCATGGCTTGATGTCCGAATTGAACAGACCCTGCTGTAATTGAACATAGCCATGGAACATCATATGTTCTTAAAACATTATCTAATTACGGCAAATCATCTATGTATGTATATATATATATATAGATATTAAGCGTCCATTCGATTGGATTAACCATCTATGACTGCTCATTACAATATAGAATCACCACATATACATATATACATACATACATACATACATACATACATACATACATACATACATACATACATACATACATACATACATACATACATACATACATACATGTATACATGGATACATGTATACATGTATACATGTATATATATATATATATACATACACACACATATATATAATTATATATATAATATATACATATATTATACATAATAATATATAATATACATATAATTATATATATATATACACATACACATACACACATCCCAATTATGGTGAATCCAACCCGGTTCCCACAGAAGTGCCACCAGGCCGTCGCCGCCGAACTGCCGGTGCATGAAGCTCGAAACCCTTCGGCCTTTGTCATGGCACGGAGGGATGATGGGATGGGCACTGGAAGAAATGGAATCAGTAGCTAAGTGGCTATGGATCAATACCTATAGATACAGTAAAAATAAGGGGATGAACATCCATAAATCCCAGCTATTTTGATGTGAACTACAGGGCTACATGGTTTTGACCCATTCCCAAGTAGTAAGTGATTGGTGAATAAATGAGTGAAATTAACACAAAATTGAGGTGACTTGTAGAATTCGGTCCACGATGCACTATGTTGATTTGTACTGTGCTGGTACAGCATATTTTCGACAGTGGCTTCACAGAATTGAGTAAACATGACATGTCTGATTGCTGGAATCCCCTCAGCTGTTGAATTGGATCCTCCAAATGGGAATCTGCAAGGCTCAGTTGCAGTTGCCCCGCTTCAAGCAAGCCGCCAAAGCAATGATGCAGAGGACGCAGGAAGCCAAGATGATCGTCACGGATGGACACCTTGAAACCCATAGGGTTTAATAAAGTTTAATGCATGACACCAAGGTGAACATCCCGGCTGAGTCTGGTGCCGGGATTGGAGTCGAAGCCCCGTGTGGTCTCAAAACAATGGCGTTGCGGCGGTGTGTTTTGTTGGATGGTTCGATGGAGTTTGATGGATGGGTGGATGATGGGTGGATGGTAGGTGGGTGACTTGGGGTGACTTGACAGATTTTGACTTCTGCTTTTGTGAGGGCATATGACTCCCCACCAAGCTGCTAGCGGCACTGGAAAAGGGGAGATTCACTACGCGCCACCTGTTGTGGCTCAAATCTGCTGTGCGAAAGCGATGAGTGAGGCCAGGTGATCCGGGCCCTCTGAAAGATTTAGCCCGGAGAGTGTCATAAAACATGGTAAAGCCATGGTAAAGCCACTGATTAATGATCCATACCCCTTGGATCTCGTTTATATCATTTAGTTTTCTAAATGATAAAGAAAACTCTAAACAGGTTACGGGTCATGATTGGGTCTGCCACATGAATTCGGCTGCCTGGTTGATTGGAATTGTGAGGACCCGTTGACAAGCCTTGGGAGTCCCATCACCGTGTATGGGTCTGAACCAAGCTTTGCAGGCTCGCAATGGAGAGCCAACCACTGACAGGTGTCGTGCTGATTTTTTGGGGATGGCTCCAGGATTTTTTGTTGGAGGGTTTTTAAACAGATCGAACCATCGAAATTGCAGGATTTTTTCGGGTTTAGGGTTACCTATAGTTACCTCATCAATTCTGTGTTTTCAACTCTTGCTATCCATGTGGGGCTTGCAAAGTTAATCCCCCAGGGACTTGGATGGTAAAATCCAAGCCGTAGCCAGAAAGACGTCAAAGCCCTGTGTTGCCTGTTCATGAAAGGGGCCAACTACAGTATCTGAATCTAGTATGATACTTAACCATTGTATTATGTATATAATATAATATGTATTGTGTGTATATATATATATAATTATATTGTATGTATATATATATATATGCATAGTGTGTATATATATAGTATACACATTATGCTTACACATATTATACCTGCTCTGGTTTTCCTAAACTCCAGAATTGTCCTCCGTACTTCCATCAAAAGTATTCCTTCTCCGCTCACCGCCAGCCCGCCGGCTTAGCTGGGCTGACCAGGCAGGGACGGGTTCACTGAAATGGTTGGTTTCCAACCAGGCTGACATCGATCTTTAATGTTGACAAATACCGACAAGATAATAGGGATATATATATATATAAACTTAACCAACCAGGTAACCATGTACGGTATGGAACATAATTGGAGTTATCTGAATATGATGGATGGGATATATAACCAAGCCCAACCATTCATGCCGATTCAATGGGATTCCCAGTCCCCAGTCCCCTCCAATTCGCCGACACTTGGCGAATCGCTCAGAATGCGGCTCCACTCGCCTCCGACATTGTAGAGGCCATCTGTTGATGCGAAATCTGTAAGCTTTCGCACCTTGGGACCTGGAACAACTGGAACCGGTGACAAGTTGATGGACACCTTTTACATCCTCGATTATACTGGCGCGTTTTTGCTGGCTTACTCTATGACTTGACCCATTTATATGTGAATGTTATGTCCTTGTTATGTCCTTGTTATGTCCTTGTACCTGTACAGTTCACTCCATGCCCAGAGATCTTTGGAACAAGGTTCCCTCAGAACAGGGAAGAACTGGACACCCTCCAGGGTTTCAAGATGGAGACTCCACTGCCGATGTTGCTTGAGAAGTGATTGTTTGGTGGTGCTGTGGTATGCCAAACAAGGACTGCATCAGACTTGTGACGTTTTAAACTCCCGAGCGGTTTCCGGTTTTCCCCGGGTTGAGGCTTTCCTGTCCCCTTTTCCCTGGGAACCATCTGCCGACCCAGCCTCCTCCTGAACCTCATCATGATGAAGATGATGATGACGACGACAGGCCATTGGAACTATGAAATAATATGAATGAACGGTTTTTGTGAAACACGGAAAAGCTCTTGTTGCTTGCGGAAATGCTGCCTCAGACCTAGTTTTCAAGACAGAGCTGATCAGGATCAGGCTGTACTTCAACCATGGATGATTTCTTGTCTGGGATTTTACTGCGTTCGTCGGAGATCACAAGCCCAGGTTCAGTTGTTTTGTGAAGGGCAAAGAACAACTAGACAGGCAGAAAATTTCCATCTAGATGGGTTTTATTTGAGCAGTGGTAAGAGTTTTTGTTCTTACTTTCCCATGTTTATACCCAATCGCACTGTTATCAGCAACAGCTTGACATGGTCACGTGGTGTGCTAGGCCCAATGCCACTGCACCCGAGGATCAGTCATTATTAGGGTATTGGGTGTTGGTCAAAATTCTACCACCAAATAATGATTGATCATGATCTAAACATATCGAATGCCATTATTTGGTCATTGACCTAAAATGCATGGTTAAGTCTCTAGATGAGATGTCTCTTGCGGGTCCCTTGGTGCCCCACCTTCTTCGTTTCAGGCCTGGCGTTCGGACGCTCGAGATGGGGCTGCTAATGCAAGGGTCGACCACTGAGCATAGTGGGCTGCTTGTGGACGCTCCCGAGCGACTTTTTGTTTGGGAAACCAGCCATGAGTTTTTGACGAAATTGGAGGAGGTGGCCCAGCCGGACCGCGACTGCCATGGAAATAGGGACCAAGGGTCAACCGACAATTCATTACCTGGTTGGGGAGGATGATCCCATAGCCCCAGCCATTTTTTTCAGGGTACCACCAGACCCAGCCACTCGTGGGACAACTACCCTTGAGGTTCCATTATAGAGCAGCTGTCGAGTTACCATCCAATGGACAACTCGTAGAGGCGCCTTGAGTGGTTGGATAGGAATCCCTTCTACTTGAGATAGCATGGGAAAAACAACGTGCTTCTTGCGCTGCTGGATGAGAGCTGCAGATTTTCCTAAAGGTTGGTTTGGCACTTGTTGTTTTTTGCTGTTTTAGTATTATTAATATTATTAATTAATCTATTTTTTCAGGCTTTGATTAAACAATTGAAATAATTGGGTTCATAAAATCATGAATTCCCAGACTTCCAAACCACCAACCCAAACCGCCATGCAAGCATAAGTTGAGGGATCGTGCCAATGAGAAACTCCTTTGCAAAGATGTGTAGCTCAGATTCTAGCCGCAGTAATCATATTGAAATATAGTTGAGGTGTTTCCCCCTGATCCTTCACAATTCTGCAACCAAGACATGACACCTGGTGCCGCAGGTGGTTGGACCTTTGCCCGATGGCATTGATATCCTGGTGCCGGATCCAGAGGGATCCTGGGGGATCCTCGGGGACTCTACTTTTGGTGGCAGTGAAGGCCATGAACTCTCCCAAGTCAAGAGAAAAAACATCTTATAAAATATATGTAAAATATATAGGTGATTTCTCAACCTGGTCGCCCCCAGGGGCCCCAAAATCTGTGGCAAACTCGGTTTCCCTGAAAGCTGGAAAGGTCAAGGATGAGGGCAGTCCTGAGCATCCAGCGGCTCTGTGGTACGCAGGGGAGACAGGGGGAGAGGGGCAGGGATAGTCCAAAGCTGGTGAAGTGCAATTTTTTTGGGGTAGGTTGTGATGGGCATGATATCATTAGAAAAAAGGTGTCAGTTCAGTTTTTAAACAGGTTTCAGATAAGTTGGATACGTTTTAAAGGTGAAACAAAAGAGACATTTGGTGTTGGGTGTTTGCTAAGCCCTTGCGAGGGGTTGAGATTCATATCTCGTGTCTTGTTTTCTTCAGAAACTCCCATGAAACAACACATGGCTATCATAGATATATACTATGCATTTGGGTATGGGTCAAGTTGGGTACCCCAGCAACTGGATGGTTGACACTAAGCCAGGTTTATCATCTTAAGAACCCCATCTAAAGTGCAATGTTTATCCCTTAAGAACCATGAAGAGACCAGAAAACTCTGCGCAAAGATACTCGATTTCACAGACCTACAGTCTAATTACTCCAGAGTTATCCCAAGATTCCTATAATTATCCCCAAACTTACCTTTAACTAGCCCAAGTTTTGCCATGAATTCTCCCCCAAAACACATCTCCAAGTTTCGGCCGAAAATCGGTGGCAGCCAGGATAGAAGCCGAGCTAAAGCAGCTTGGACTCTTTCATCACGGCCGGATAGCCCCAGATCCCCCAGCTGGAGGGAGCGGCCATGGGGCTAACTGGCCAACCCAAATAGCTGGATGTAAACCAGCTGGGATTTTGAGGTGTTGATCCCCAAAATCATTGATGTCCTACAAGTGGAAGGGAAAATTGTTGGTTTGAAACCTACATTTTAATGGCAAATTTCTGAAGTTCCTCTTATTTTTCTCTAATTCGGAGGCTATACCCCCATAACGAAACAGGGGACTTCATGGGCTTAATCCTCGAACATGGCAGGAAAACCAGAAATGATGCCTCACAAAGAATTCTTCACTGGCTGAAATCCGACCATCGTGTTTTGGTTTCAGGGTTTGGTTACATCCTGACCAAAGATCGAATGGAACCTCCCACGGACCCCCTAGGACTCAAATGTATGACCCAATTTTCCTAGGGTCATTTTCCTTGGCCACTGGTGGCTATAAGCTAATCATAAGCCAATCTCTGTTTGGCCATCCGCCTGCTGCGGGTGCCCAACCAGAAAGCTCCAAGGCTTTCTCGTGAGAATCACGGGTGGCGAATTCGAAGAAGTTGTCGTCAACCTGAAGGCCGGTCATAAACTGCAGTTTGGTTTGGGGGTTTCCAAATTCTGAGACAACTCCATACTTATTATAGTATATTATAGTGGGAAATGACATTTAGCTGAAGCTGAAAAAGTGGTTTTTGCTTGTGCTGAACTTAAATTCACCCCAAAAAGAGGATTGACCGTGGCTTCCAGCCTGAACATGTTGGATGGTGGTTCCTGCAATGGATATCGCCTCATTCAATGATGGTGTCTACGCATCCCAGTTGCAAATGATTAAACAAAGGATCAACAACGGGTGTACCCCACACATACCCCCATCAACTCATCTAATTATCCTGAAACAACCTTTGTTGTGAAAGCAACACTTCCAAAAAAGACTTGGAGATCTTGCAATAGTTGCATTTTGATCTACTTATACCCCAATCATAACCTATACCAGAGTTATACCGCATTTATACCCTAGTTATACCCCAGCTATCACGCAGTTCCATTTGTCTTGGAGTATACCCTCTGATAATTTAACAGTTTGCTATGGCTTCCACAGCAAACTTAGGGTACGTTCCACTAATAAGTGGGTTAGATTTCACCATAGTTGTAGGAATTATATGATTTATCCCAAGTTATGGAGGTTTAAATTCCATAGTTATAACCATTATCAACCATCATTGACCATTATTAGCCATCATCAACCATCATTGACCATTATTAGCCATTATCAACCATTAATAACCACTATCGACCACTATGAAAACCTCTATTAACCACGATTTTTCCCTCAGTTATACCCCAGGGATCCCCACATCCATCGCTTCGATCCACCAAGGCCTGCGTGATGGGTCCTAGAGAAGGACGGCCGTCGAGGCGTTTTTTTTGGTTCGGATCTTGGGGATTGGATATGTGATGGGAAAAAAATGGCTATGGATCAATACCTATAAAAATACAATTTTTAGGGGAATGAACATCCATAAATCCCAGCTATTTTGATGTGAACAGAAGGGGTACAAGGCTTTGACACACTGCCAAATCAAGAAGTCAATCTGGGGGCGGATTTGAAACAATGATTTAAATACATTGATATCATATAAATGTATGATAAACCAGGTTTCAACATGATTTCTCCGAGCAAATGATTTCTTAAACTTGCCAGCATTCCATTTGATGTTGCAAGGTCTACGGGACTGACGACTGCTAACTCACATCCAAATTTCCCAGCGAAATAACATCACTTGGAGAATGGGGTCATCATCCAAAGCCTTTTTTTTTTGGCTTGAATTGGGTATTTGGTCTTGTCGGAAAATGAGAGTGTACGCAATTCATTTGGAAAATGACACAACTGACTATAATCAATGGATTTAGGGATACCCTATAGACAGACCCATTTGAACAGTTCGGAGATCTCCGCCGCCGCAGGGTTCACGAGAACGTTGAGCTCATAAGAGCACTGGCGCCGCAGGACGATCGGAGTGAGGAACGGAGGGCATTGGATTTTTTGAGGTTTTTCTTCTACACCAAAATCCTGAGGAAATGGCATGGGATAGTACCAACCGGAGGACTTGGTGTCTGCAAAATCGGCTCAAGCCATACTTGGGGGAATTGGCGGATGGCCTTGATCAGATGGTGATCCATCAAGTGATGCCACCTGATTTTAGGAGCTTCATCAATTAGACCAATTCATATTGTTTCACTCACTATATCGTACCCTAACCCTCTGAGCTCAATCCAGCCAGACCCATGATGGCTGTAGAGTGATTACCTTTCACTCCAAACACTTAAGGCAAGAAGGCTTGTGACATAGTCCAAAAAGATCAATTCCAGCTACAGAGCTGCATGATGTTTTGGAGATGGCGAGCAGATCGCGCTCTTCTGATGCTTCCATTGGTCTTCTCTCCAACTTTTCTCTCCCCGGTCCTTCGAAGTCTACCCAGTGGCCTGGGATGTCCGATGCGTTCGGTGCGTTGTGCGGCGTCCAAACGCCAAGTGCTTCACGATCGTCATGTGCTGACGTGGAACGAACTGCTTCTGCGTATTGACCGGGACCAAATCCATTCGATGCTGATTTTGTGTGGCACAACAGCCGGGAATTTGGGCGCCATTCTGAGATCCAGCACCTTGCTGGATATCTCAGCTGTATGCATTTTGGATGAGTCAGGCCCGTCAAAGGCGACCTTGGATAAGGCCTTTCGATTTTCCATGTTGGAACAGAAGAGTCATTGGGATACCCTGGTGGTACCCGGACCGGATACTCAAGAGGAGACCAAGTTCTTGTCGGACTTGAAGGAGAGAGGAGTGAAGTTGGTAGGAATGGTGGCAGCTGGGGCTGCCAATGGTGCATCTTGTGACTTGTGTGATTTGGATCTTTCGACCCAAAGGCCGGTGGCCTTTATCTTTGGTGCTGATGAAGAAGATGGCTTGGCCTTTACCAAAGAAACTGGGCTGAAGTCAAAGGCATTGTTGCAAAGATCAGACCCTGTCTATCTATAATTTTCTAGCACTTTTCTTTAGTCTCCAATTTTTTCGGTGTCTTTTGAGGTGTCTCCCCATTTTTGAATCCATTCAGTGTTGACCGCTGGTCTGAGGAGATCGAGGTTCAAGACCTGGACGTGTTGGCCAGCGTCTCCATGAAGGACTTCGGCCGTGCGACAGCAACGCCGGACACGTTGAACCTCTCGGCCACGGCGGCCATTGTGGCCTACGAACGGCAGCGGCAGCGGTGCCAGCAGCGGTGGTGGCAGGAGCTGAAGAAATGGATGAAAAACTGGGGGAAATGGTGGGATTTGAAAGTTGCCAGGTGAGATTGATGTGGTTTTAACACCCAATGATACGCCTTAGATTTCTGCAAATACCGGATATATTCATGGCTGATTGGCTGATGGATCAACAGAGCTGCGGTTTCACCAAGCAAAAAACCAACAGCATATCACTTCATATCAGTGTGGATGTAACCATCATTAACCATCATTAAACCCATAATAAATCCATCATTACCCTCTGGTAATTTAACGTAGCTATTGAAAATGGCCATTTATAGTGAAATTTCCCATAAAAAATGGTGATTTTCCATAGTTACGTTAGTTTACCAGAGGGTAACCATCATTAACCACCCTGATGATTTTTGTAGTCCTGGTACTGTCCTCAGAGGTGGATTCAAATAACCACCTGATGCCACCTGGATTGGAAAATCCGGCTTTCGGGATGTGTTTTTGGATCCCAAGATGGGGGTTCCCAGTTTTGTTCCACAAACAAACATGCCATTTAGTAGACAATCATCTATATCTATATCTATATCTATATTTATATCTATATCTATATCTATATATTATATATCTATATATGTATATGTATATGTATGTGTATATGTATATGAATCAGATGTCCATTCATACCGTTGGGGATCAGTTGAAACCTATGAGATCATATTTGGCGCTTTGAACATCCATAATTCTCAGCTACTGATGTTCATGATGCTCGCCATTTTGGGCAGGATGTTCAAGACAGCACCGAGGGAAGCGCCTTCAAAAAGGCAGCGATGCTCTTGGCCCCTTGGCGGCACATTTGGGCCACCAACACCTGCAGTTCTTTTTTTTCCATCAGATGTGACCTGCTGAAGCTACTGGAAATCACCATTCTGTTGGAGTCACCCATTGCTTGGGTAGATTTTTTTAACTGCCAGTCAAGTTCTCGGGTGAAGAATGGGAGAACGAAGATCACATCGGCTGTGCCTGGAGTTCAGCCTTGTCGGCCAAGGCTGAAGATGAAGATGAAGATGGGTGAGGATTGGGGACATCTGTGTGACACAAAAGAGCTGGCAGCCTAATTTTTTTGGAGCACTGTTTGCAACACTGTCAGCACGAATGATCTGGGAACATGAAAAGACAGAATTCAGGTAAGGCGACCCAGACTGTGGAACAGCAACAAACACTTGGCAAAGTTGCAGGGACAGTAACAAAGTGGATGTAATCAATCGCTACACGGCATCGGCTAACCCAACGTATCTGGCTTTCCGAAATGGTCTGATCAGTTTCCTGCGCAGGAGTCGATTCGGAATCGCCTCACCTGTAGGACGTGCAGCCACTTGGTGCCTGGTAGTTTGGGGCCCTCACGATCAATGAGTCTACAAAGGAGTTTATTAAATTTAAGTCCTTCAAAATGGCAGATTCATTCTACGTTTGTTGTTTTATTGAAGCGGTCATAACTTAGTTGCTGCTTAGACCAAGTGGTGAGCGATCTGCACGCATGTGCGGATGAAGTGGTACGCGTTTTGTTGGCTGAATTTCAGCTGCCAATAGATGTCTCACAGATACCATGTCGGCCGTGGCGGTCCGCCGGTGTTAGTGGGGGAGTTGTGTGCTGATGGCGACATTTCGAAATGTGCTCCGGCATAATGATATGATATGTCGAAAGTGAAAAACACGTGTATAGTAGTACATACCCTCTGGTAAACTAACATAGCTATGGAAAATCACCATTTTTTATGGGAAAAGCAACTATTTCTATGGCCATTTTCAATAGCTATTTTGACATAACCAGAGGGTACATATTTTCGACACTCACACGGCTAGTTTTACAAAACGGCGTGGCTATCATATCAAGCTATCACCACTGACACCGGAGATCACCAAGTAGGATCTCTTTTCTTCGTGTCAGACGCTTTCCTATTCCTTTTCATATTCCAAAATGAACTCGAAAAGCTACTCTACAACCGTCTGGAATCAGAGTTTTTTGTAAGTGTTTGGTTGCAATTTGGCAATGGCTCAACATTTTCAAAGTGGGTGAAATCACGAAACAGGCCCATTGTTCGTCCGTCGGGATTCCCTTTTTGGAGCCGAACACTCATTTTGATCCGAACGAAACTGCTGTGTCGAGCGAAGAAGAGTGACCAGTGCTTGTGGTGTTTATCGACAATGGCAGAGTGCAGGACCAGGCCAAGACAAACTCAACACTCTACAGAGCTTCCTACAATGGGATGGATAAGAGTGATTATAGTGATTGGATGGGTCAAAACCTATGGGACCTATGATACCCATTCCCAAACGAAGGTATGGTTATACTGCTCTTGTACCATATCGAGAACCATTTGCACCCCCCCCAAAAGGTGTGTCCACCACTGCAGAAGCGACATTTCTGTAGATACAGTTCGATTTTCGAGAAAATGAAACCCTTTTGATACAAAAGAAGCCTTTTCAATCCTTTTCACTTCAACCTTTCCACACCTTTTTAACCTTCTTCCTAGAATTGGTTGAAGGGTCACTTTTTAGGAACTGCCTTTTTTGCATGACGGTATTGGATCAGGTTTTCCATGGTTTTCCCACCTTTGCATCATGCAGGGCGCTGAAAACTTCAGGAGTGACACCAATTCGCAGGTCCTGCGCCCGCGGATGAGCTTAGCGGTGCTTAGTGCCCAGCGATGCTCACATGAATCCGCGGCCCGCAAAGCGCTGCGCGCGTTGGCGTCATGCGAAGCATGCGAAGGCAGTCCTGGATTTCCCAGGGTCATGATATATGACGAATGTATACAGCATGTATACAGCATGTATACAGTATGTATATGCAGATGTATAACATAGTACATGATATAGGTGATATATACGTATATATATATGATATATATATATATATGATATATATATATGATATATATATATATATTATGATATATATAATGTTGACGAACACCACAACCAACGAACACCCCAGTCGTTACGCCATACCTTTAGACTGTTTGAAGATCCACAGGTCCGCCTGGCTTTGACGAGGCACGACCAGCCCGCGTCGCGGTCACGTCATGGCGTCGCGATCGAGAAATATGCGCGCCCCGGTGGTGGAGGGATTTCGTCATTTCTACGGGAATTAAAATGGGGATTTAACCAAGACAAATAGTAATTTAATGGGATTTACTAGAATCAAATGGGGACTTTATTGTGATTTTTGATGGGATGTAGTCGGATATAGGATATATGATATAATAGGATGTCACCAAGCTTTCACGGTGATTCAATGGGGGTCAATGGGTATATACTGTGGGGTATATGTAATGGGATATACAACCAACTTTTTGATGATTTTGGGTTTCTCTGAAACCGAAACTGGGGTATAATTACAAAAAGGCAGTTTTACAGGGAATAAAACATGATGATTTGACTATCACAAATTCATGATCGGTTGATGACCGTTACCATTGTACAGGGATGCAATGGGAATCTAATTGGAATACATCAGGTGTTGTATACAGTATACGCAACAAAAGGATAGCAGTTGTTCTAAAGTTGCAGTTTTCTTGATCCAGGTGCGGTGCTTGCTGAATAAGCAGTTCTGGAAGAAACTTGCCAACCTGAACTGCTCCGAATTTCAGGTCAACACCAGATGGATTCCATTGATGGATTTTGACATCACCCAGATGGTCGAATCTCTCCTGCAGCCATTGTTCATGAATTTCCCATGCACGATCCATTTTTTAAGATGCAGCCAATGCAGCCAGAGAAGTGGACAACGAACACAGCCGTGGTTGATTTTCGCCGCCATTGGAAGCAACCACCAAAAACACGATCATCAACGACAAATGCATCATATATGTATCATCAATGACAGTTTTTCACAGCTTGTTTGTAAAAATCAATGACCAGATACACCATGCTTCACAGCTACTGATCTGTGGTGATGGTTGGAGACCCAGGAGTTGAACGACAACGCTGTTTAGACAACTTGGGACCCAGTGATGCAGGTTTTGGCCCGACATTTATCACGTTAGAGCTATGTATATATCTATATATACATAATTCAGAGTCGTGAGAGCATATATATATATAGATAGATAGATAGATAGATAGATAGGTAGATAGATAGATAGATACATATTATATTAATTCTCTTAAGCCAATTCGATCCAATTTTGTGGTATAGCCACCTTCTTTTGGCTGGGGTCTTTGTGTGGTGATCCCTGCTCATATATATATATAGACACACACTCACACACACATTATGGGATGTAGAATAGAACCACATCATTTCTTGGTAGTTGAATGCCCGATTGGTCCTCGCCTCCCTTCCCTTGGACCTTAGTTCCCGTTCACCCGGTTCAAAGGCGGCCGTGCTACGTCCTGCGCCCGCACCGCTGGCCTTCAGACCCGTGAGCGGTCTGCCGGTGCGACGACCAGGCGGTGAAAACATGGAGGGTTTTCCCATGGAGTTTTTGGATGTTTTGATGACCCAAAAAGTGATAGCACACGTTTGAATTGCGAAAATGAGATTGTAATTGCGACAGACTTATCTAGCGACAACTTCCAAAGCACCTAATTAATTGCCAAACAAAGAATGCATATTTGCGAAAGAAAAACAATGCAAGATGCCTATATATAATTCTATAAATATAATTATATATAAGTATATAATTATATATAATTACAATAATTAATTATATTTAATATGTATATATATATAATATACATATATTACATGTATATACATATGTATAATAGCCTTAGGCATCCCCTCTAGCCTTCCCTCTGGTTCCAATTAGAATTCCCGTCTAGTGGTCTAGTGCTAGACGGGGGTTCAGGATGCATCCTAGATGGGAAGCACGAGGATTCTAATTGGACATTTTAGTTGGAAGAGGTCAGACAGGAAGGCCGGACGGCCAGACGGGATTACTATGCTTTATGATTCCTTTACGCAACAAGAATGCATGACTTTCAGATGTTCCATTTCCATTGCCACAGTTTTTTTTTTTCCGCAGTTAACACCATTTTTTCCCAATTCCGTTTTTTTTTTCAATTAAACAATCACGTTTTTTTCGCACTTAAAACGTATTCTGCAAAAGTGGGGTTTGTTTAGTTTTTGTGATTTTTATTGGATGTTATATGAAGTTCTATGCTTTATATTTTTCAGATGTTTGATATGATAGCCCAGGAATCACTATCATCTCCTGCTATTTTGAAGCCGGAGATGCTTATGTCTAGACTTGCGCAAAATAGGCCTCAGAGTGTGTCTTCCTGGGGACAGCTAAGTACTACAAATTCTATGTGGAAATGATTCTCAGACATTCTAATCTTTGTACAATATATGTAAATCACAATCTCTGATATCATTCAAATGTCGATTCTCTTGCACACAGACACACATAAGACGCACATGTATATATATATATATATCCATATTCCTGTACACATGTATCTGCCACATACACATCATCCAACCCCCGAAAAATGCCCCCGGTCCCATTGAGGCTCCGTGTCCTCGGGAAGTCCTCCACCGATACATCCCGTGGTGAGGCAGCCTCTGCATGGCTCCATTGGTATTTTGTGGGATCTGCGGATATGATGTGATATTATCTCATATCACTTGCAGATATCATAAATATCATTAAAACATCATGAACATGTCATGAACATATCATGAATATATGAGGAATATATCATGAATATATCATGAATATATCATGAACATATCACTAAATTACAACCAACAAATAGCAAAGACTGGCCATTTTTCCTGGGTTTTTCCCACGACTTCCGGCAGGATGCTACCACCCTCCGGGGCGAGCACGCCGGCGCCGGAGGAGACCTGTCCGAGCTGTGGGAATGCGCCGGCCTCAGATGTCATGCCTGAAAATGTGGACCTCATGAAATTTGAGTGGAACATAGAACTTCATTTGTCCCAAAACACCAAGGTTTTTTGAAAAAACACATTTTTAGACGCACAAAAAGGCACTGTTTGAGGCTTGAAACCACAGATTCTCGCATATTCTTGTTGATATTTTCCAGTTTTTTGCTGCTGTAGATGATTATTGGTGATAAACTGTTCATTTTGGAATGAACAGATGTAATTAGGCACTTCAAGATGGTTGAATGGAAAATTGTCAGGAAAACATGGTCTCAATATGAAATATTAATATGAAACTTCCGAAATTTGGTCCCTCGAACTGATTCTGGGTCATCAACATTGAATCAAATTCAAGACAATTGATGCCGGAAACCGGGCAATAGACCTATGTTCCTGGATTTTTGAAAGCGCTCGAATGGCAAAACGAGGTACAGTCTATGCTTCGGTTGAACAAGAACAAGAGTGGTTAATGTATAGTAACATTGTTATTTTTCAATGCTAAACAAGTTCAGAACATTTTTTTAGAGATAGGTTGAGACTCCAACGAGTATCACAAGTTCATGACAAAGTGCGAAAGGGAAACTCCCAAGCCCCGCAACCTGTGACGGAGGCCTTTATGCCCGATGCCATCTTCTGTCGCTACTGTGGACAGAAGAGGGAGGCGGTCCACCATTGTCCACCTGTTGAGTCCATTTCTTTTTCAAACCGTCCTGGTTTGGTGCAGCTTTTGATCCGAAAAGAAGACCAGAACTTTGAGTTGTTGTCTCAATCTGAGGATTTTTAGAATGAGATGCTACGCTGCTACGCCTCTGTTTTCTTTGAAGTTCACCGCAACACAGGTGGAAACTCAGTCGGTGCAGTCCATCAACTACAACTCACTCTTTTCAGGAGCCACGGTTTTTTTTGGGTCTTTGCCAGGTATCCTTGGGGTATGGCCATTGCCAGGTGAGATTTCTTGATGCTTCCTGAAGGGAAAAAAAGCCACACCGTGTGGACGACCCGATCCAGGTACCAGGTCCATCGAAGTTTCTGATCGTTTTCCCGACCACAAAAAGCACAGACAAACCATTCCCAGACAATCCCAGTACAATAAAAACACCAATAATGTGATGTATATGATCTGTATATGCATATATCTCATTGTGCACGCACCATATCCCCATGAACCATCCCATTGACTTGGTCGAGTTCTCCTCTTTTTCTTGAAAAGGCCCCATGAGCCCCAGCGATGGCGTCAACGTTGCTCAGCTTTCCGGACTCGGCCTGGGCAGACGAATAGCTCACAATTGGAGATGGTTTGTGATAGCGAAGGTGAACTATATAACTTGGGTACGGTTGACATGGTTTCTGACTACAGTCGCCTTAACACTTTAGTGACTTTAGTGCAGACATGAGCCGTTTGATAGCTCAAGCTGTATGTGTTGACTCTGAAACTGAGGCCGCTTTCGACGGCGAGGTGGCCCCAGCACTGTACGGTGTTGGATTTTCAGGTGCCCACGGGGTGACGTTCCGCTGTGACCTGCGCAGACCATGTGGCCATCCCGTGGCCTTTGGACTTCCCAATCCAGGTGAGAGCTGGATACTGAAAATTGTAAACCATATGGCTATGGATCAATACCTATAGATACCATTTTTAGTGGGATGAACATCCATTTACCAGCTATTTTGATGTGAACTACAGGGGTACAAGGTTTTGACACACTGCCATATGTAGGAACAAAAACGGCCACAGGCCTTGATTTTCTCTGCAACTTCTTGAAGCAGGCAGCGTTGCCCCTGCGTCTTCTCCAGCGGAGGCAAATCTGTGGGATATCGATTCACAACACCATGGATTTTTGGGTTTGAACATGGGGATCATCATGGCCGCGATCTTGGGGTATTTTCAGACAATCCTGGATGACAACTCTATTGTATATATATATATATATGTATGTAGATTTTGAAGGCTTGCAACAAAGTCTCCTTTGCTTTTGTAGGTGTAAATGATGACATCCGGGCTTTGACTTGAAAGATCCTCCAGTCAAGGGATCGTTCTCAGTGGGGGGACTGCAAGGTCTACACATCGGTAGCTGCCGCAACGCCACTTTACAGCGGCATCGTGTCAGGTGCAGATGGGTTGGACTTTCCAAGGATGATTGGTGATGAAGTAGACCCATCAGTAATTTCCATTCCAGAATGGATCAAATTGCCAAGGTATTTTTTTATGGATCCCCAGATAGAATTTTCACCAAACCCGAATTTTTCATCTAGATGGATCAGGGAATCTTCGTGCCCTGCTAGGCCCTGCAACACCGTCAGCGACACCGGCTCCAGTGCGATTCCTAGACCTGGGCAGCAGTCAAACTTAACCAGCACTTCGTACTATTTGGACATATTGGGCCCCATCACCAGCGTGTTCTCCAGAAATATATATATATGTATATATATATAATATTACATATTTTGGTCTTTTTTGGCATTGGATCATGGATGATGGTGCACATACCTCTGCGCAGCCTCTTGTGCAGCCTCACCACATTGCAAGGTGTACCATGTGGATCCAGCACTCTATGGTGGACCTTCAGGCGCGGGTGAAGTTGCCCGAAAACTCCAGCTTCCCAACCAAAAAAATCCATGGCCCATAGAGGTGTGATGATTTCTGGGAAGCTTCAAAGGTTGCCTAAAGGCGATTTTCCGTTGAGTACGGACGAGTTTGCCCAGGGACCATGACACCGACACCCAGCGGAGCACGCGTGGCTGACTCGGAAAGCTCTTGAGAAGCAGTGAACCGCGACGCCTGATTCAACTTGAGGATCACCAAAGCTTTTCGGATGATCTCTGAAGCCAAGGTGTACCATGTGGAGCCTCCTCTATACAGCGGTGGGCTCTCAGGCAAGGAAGTTCTGTAGTGGTTGATAGTTCGGATCTGCCATCAAGAATGGTGTTTTAACGGGAAATGCTGTTTTAATGGGATTTTTATTGGGATTCAATCAGATAATGAGATTTAACCATCAAACATGGTGATTTAATCGGGATTCAATGAGATTTTAGGGCAAATATGATGTGATATTCAATTTTTGCAGCATGTCTAGTGGGACGCAGAAGCTATCAATCTCTTCCCCAGTCGAAAAAACATCCACCCGTGAATCAGGAACTGTCACCCCAACTTCTGGTGGTGCTCCAGTCCCCAGCTCAGCTTCGAGTGGCACTGTAGCCCATGACCAGAATTGGGTCTTTCTGGTTTCTCCAGCACCATGAAGTTTCAAGCAGATTTGTTTCTCCTGCAGCCCTTCCAGACTTGGGATCCCTGACCATTGTTGCTGGTGGTTCACACAGTTCACAGCTCCCCACATTTTCTGAGGTTTACCACGTGGATCCGCTGCTCTGCGGCGGCTTATCTGGCTCTGCCACCCCAAGTCTTCCGCCTGTCAGAGGCCTCAGCTAAGATAGCTAAGCTACATACAGTGGAAGTGTTGGAGACGTGGGAAGAGATATTAGACTTGTCTGAAAATTTGGTATATAAGATACCCCAGGTTATGGCAATTTGAATAGGGAAAACCAGAGTGGGGTATAGCCGGGTATAGCCCCTGGAAAAAATACATGGGTTGGAGCTGCGACTCCTGTTAGAAGCTCCTGAAACGGTGGCTGTTCGATGAGTTGGCAGCAAAACTTGCAACTTGCCATGGGGTATCACTGGTCCCGACGGGTCGTTGGGATTTTTGTGCCCTTTGATGAGGTAAATGCTGAACTTGGCGCTTCTGTGCGCGGGGGTATGTCAGGCAAGAGGGGATGCTTGAGCATCTTGAGCATGCAGAGATGGCGAACTGATTTTCCCCTTGCATTGCTGCATGATAGCACCATCCATTGATGCTATCATGGCAACCCATGGGTCAGGAACTGTCACACCGACTTCCGGTGGTGCTCCAGTCACAACCTCGGAATCTAAGCTCTGTGTGTTGCATGCTGCTGGTAGTTTTTTGGGTGCAGGAGTTTTTGTTTGTGGGGAAGGTAAACAGTGACTGCCATACTAGACCCTGGTAGAATGGTGTGGAATGTATCAGGATCTATTCTATCATTTGGGGTTATTTTTGGGATGCTCACCCTATTGTTTCACAAATGTAGTACACCCGAAAAAGATAGAAAAGTAAATCGTACCAAAAATAGCGGCTAAACTATGGGAAACTATGGTAAAAACTATGGTAAACTATGGTAAACGACTTTTCTATCTTTTTTTGGTCGGTATAAATGGATCCTATTCATTCTCGACCGATGAGGTGATCACATATCCCGCTCAACCCGCTCAAGCCGCTCAACCAGGCCAGGCAGATTCCCAGCTTTCATCGTTTTGTGGCAATGTCCTCACCCTTGGCTCGCCGTCATTCTCATCGTCATCATCATCAGCATCAGCATCATCATCATCAGCAGCATCAGCATCATCATCATCGTCGTCGTCGTCGTCGTCCTCCTCATCATCATCATCGTCGTCGTCGTCATCATCATCATCATCAGCATCAATATCAGTATCAGTATCAGTATCAGTATCAATCATCACGATGGTTGTCATCATTGGCAGTCTTATCACCATCAACTTCATCAACTCACCACTGCGAGAATTGCCTTACCAGGGAAATCTGGAGTAAAACCAGTGTTTTCATGCGTAAAACGGCGGTAAAATCCATGGTTTCCGGATGTTTCCTCAGGCCTCCGTCCTCGGCCCCCGATGATGGAACCGACCACCCTGGCGGCACAGTGGGGAAGCTCAGGATGCAGGAGGAATTTTGCGTTGTGGAAGGGATACCCTCTGGTAATTTAACATAGCTATTGAAAATCACAATTTTTAATGGGAAATCCACTATTAATGGTGATTTTCAATAGCTACGTTAAATTACCAGAGGGTAGCATATTTTTTTGTCGGGAACAGTTTCAATTGAAATTAGATAGAATACGCAGAACTTCTGCTTGGTTTCGATATTGATGTATGAGCTTCAAGTTTCAAAACTTCTTTGCATTTTGAGACCAATGTCTAGGGCCAACAAAACTCTTGTCCTTACAGGATCTCCTTAGCTTCCATCACCTTGGTGTCAATCTCCAACAAAGATGCTGAGCAAATACGATTCCCACAGTCATTCTAAATAAGTCTGCATTTCTCGGATTTTCCGTAGTTGTCTTTTCTCATCCAAAACAAACTATAATTTCTGGTAACCACACATGGCAATAAACACATTCCCCCATTCCGTTCGATGATTTTCCCATCATAACCTCCACTTGTAGGGCCTCGCTACCACCTGATACGTCCTGCGCTGGGGGGCCTAGGGAGGGCCAGGGTCAACAGTTGGATTCGGTAGCCACATTGGGGGATGATCATCAATCCACTTGTAGGGATTTCTAACCATTATATATAAGGATTCCCAATATGGGATGGATGACCATAAACCATATACCATGCTTTTTTTTACCTAGCACATGTAGCTATATGTATGTATATATATATATATACGTATACCTAGAACCTCGAAAGCGTGCAAACATATTCCTCTTTCAGAATTATGTTCTATTTTGTGAAACGGCACTTTTTCTGGCTGCGAGCACTTTTGAAGATGGTCGAACCGATTTTTCAGAAACTGACACTTTACATGGGTCTTATTGCCCCAACGGACCTTCTGAGCTACAGAGGGTGCTACCTGATTTTGTTTGCGCCCTTTTGCGTTGCCTGGTATTGTCAATATCTAGTGTTTAATTTGTTGGGTGCCCAGAATTTTTGTGCACGGAACGTTCCAGCATTATTGATGAACCACATGTCTCATGAATGTAATATTGAAAAATATGAAAAATCGCTTTTGCCCGGCATTGCCCGGCGAAAAAGCGCTTTTTCCCAGCGAAAACGCGCTATGTAACGGCAATGGGTCCTTGGACAGTTTGGCTTTAACTAACTGGAGAATGATTTTGAACTCTCAGAGAGTGCAACAAAGTTTTGTCAAATGTTCTACATCCTGTTCCTGTGAGGGTGAAGGGTCAGGGTCAAGAGCAGAATTCCACGAAACGACATTTTTTTTTTCTGAAACGACTTAAATTTCCTGAAACAACCAAAATTGTTGCATTTTCACGAAACGCCCAAACAAAAGCAGACCATGAGGATGTAGGTATATAATACACGCACACATGTATTAGCTATCACAGCTTTTAAACCCACGCCAAAATCCTTTAGTCTTGCCACTACTCTCAAGGCCTGAATCACCCATCTCCTTTTCAGGAGTCCACCAAATATATACCTTGGAAGTGCAGTTATAAGAGGATATAGTGCAGTTATCAATCATAGTTATGGGGCTTATCTCCCAACTTACAAGGGTTCACAACCATGGTTGTAGCCATATCTAACCTCAACTGCAGCCCCACGTGGAAAAGTAACGTGTCATCAAATAGTGGGAACGGATCCAATCTATCATCCGTCGGTCCCCGAATTTCAGGAACACATTTTCGGACACACCACTTTGGCATAGTACCAGAATCAAACATGGCAACCGAAAAATTCCCCAGTTACAGATTTTTCCCCATTGAAATGCCCATCTAGTGATTTGCCATTACCATAGAGGGCAACAAAACACTGTTTTTCCAATAGAATTCTCCCATCAACCACTCATTTCAGGAGGTCCCAGTCACTCCAACCACCTCCGCAACGTCGGCCCCACGGATCTCGCAGTGCGAGTCCCGGAGGTCGTGGGAGGTGTGATCGCCAGATCAAACAGGATTTGATCGACCCAAAAATGGCATTTAGATAAGAAAAATTGGATTTTGCAAAAAGGTGAATTGATCCACTGTAAAATGGGGGATTTTTGCAACAAGAATGGGATTTGACCACCTTTTTCCCAAAAGCATCTCCGATGCTTGGGTTCTCGTTTAGTTGCACTCACCGCGGGGGAGCGAGACTGAGTGTTCGACGGAGATGTGTTGGACGGAAGGAAGGAGGAAGGAAGGAAGGGACTGAAGGGAAGGAAGGGAAGGAAGGGAAGGAAGGGAAGGAAGGGAAGGAAGGGAAGGAAGGGAAGGTAGGGAAGGAAGGGAAGGAAGGGAAGGAAGGGAGGGAAGGGAGGGAAGG